ATTTTTGCATAAGACGACGAAGTGAAACAAATTGTCAAATATATATACAAGTACTGATGGGTTTAATCATTTATCATTTATTTTGTACCGATATTATCAGATATCTGATATCAGGCTGTAAAGAAAACAAAAAAAATGTTCTTTGGGAAAAGACTTCTTTGAGCGATTAAACAATATTAAAGGGAGGAAATGAAATTAAAAAAAATGCTTTTTAAATTTATTGCATGTATCTTTGAAGGGTTTGATGAGACTATCGCAAAGACCTTTGCAAAATACAACAAAAGCACACCCGTATGCAAGAAGAAAGTGTATATTATTGTCCCGAGTTCTTGTGAGTGCCACGCCTCGCTAGAAGAAGCTGATCCACGCATTCATCTTGTTGAAACCATACCTCGAAAGTATGTCAATCTTGCTGGAACTATAAAGCGACCATATAGCTTTGACATGTACAAGTTCGAAGAAAATGGCGAGGTATATTTCGTCAAAATATTTAGCTTTTAAAAGTATAAGGATGTTTGGATAAAAAATTCATCTAGCAAACGTATACTTTGTTAGTTGACATTAAGTTCTAAATGTTATTTACTCTCAAAGGAATAAAGAATTTAGGACCTCCTGAGTAACTCAAGTGACCTATTGTTATCTGTTTTCGTCAGTCTTCGAGCATAAATGTTTTAACTTTTCATTTTTTCCCCTTAAACCGCTTAACCCATTTTGGAATAAATTATATGTGGATTACAGGAATAGAAGTTGTGAAAATTATGTCCCGTTCCCCTGAGACGTCGGGAATGGGAGCAAGGTTTCAAATTCGTGCTAGGGTACTGCAATCCTCAGGTTCTGAAAATCAAGCATTGACTATTGGAAAATGCTCACAAAATGTCTGAATTTTTAAAGAAAGATGTTTTAGCTTTTCCAACGATAATTCTTCAAACATTATCTTTAAAGTTGATCGTATATAAGGAAAATATTTAAATCTCAAATGAATGTTCAGGAAATGCCAATAGAAATCACCAACTATATATTTTTTCATTCAAATTTAATCAACAAACATATTTTAGATATCAAATTATAGGTATCAAGGCTTTTGAAGAAATTGCACAATTTTAATATACTGTTCATAAAAAGTATAATTAGTATCTTCTATTTACATGTACTTCGATCATTTTACAATGCATAGTGTATAAAGATATTCTTATCATTGCAAACCACTATAAATCACTTTTAATTTCATATCATATTAATAATCTTTGGTATATATTATATATAACTAAAAAGAACATCAATTTCTTTCAATATGAAGGATATGGAAATAACGAACAGTATTCAATCTCAACGTCCATTAAACAAATATACAAAATAAGAGCAGAGCAAACAGGGACCTCCGAAACATCAGAGGTGGGATCAGGTGCCATGGAGGAGTGAGCATCCCCTGCCGACCGGTCACACCCGCCGTGTGCTCGTTGTCATAATCAGGAAATAACGGAAAAAATCCGTGGTCAATTCAGTGTATAAATAATGGACTAACAATTGGTATGAAAAACGTCAGTCAGCATTTCATTCAATGATAAATTGTATTTGCTGACAAGGTCATTGTATCGATGTAATTTTCAAATACTTTTATGAGGTCAGAAGTTTTACTTCGTAAAAGGGCTTTCTGAGAACTTCAAAACACCTTGAAGCACACTGAGACGTATAAAATGAAAATTGCTGCATAAAAATATTTTATTTGCAAGCTTCTTTTTGAGACTGATTGAATTAAATTTAAATTAAAAGATTTTTCCTTCCTGGCTGAGGAGTGGATTATCTTAACTTTAAAAAAGTGTCATTTTTACCAGGGGCATGAATTCAACGAATTGTTTGCATGATTATAAGCGTTGAAATATCTACTTACTTATGGATAGAGAATTACTTTGACACTGAAACTTTTAAGTTTTCATAAAGTTTTAATTTGAAATTGTGTATGTCTTTTCGTTTTATTTGTACATTGCGATTTTAATCGAAGTTTTGTCTATTTTTATGGCAGATATATTTCTTTGTTGGTCAATATGCAGCTCCAGTTACCTGCCTAAATGATATGTGGAAACTGAAGATTGCAGGGTTAAATGAACGTGACATGGTTAAACAAGCCAGGAAATTCTGCCATGAAATCCAAAATATTTTAAGTCAGAAATTAGTGGAAGAAATTTCCCAAAAATGTGAAGTTGTTTTCTATGATGGTAAGTTGTTTTGAACTTAAATCGACATAATTAACAACATTTTTACATCTATTTTTTCTTAAGAAAAAGGTACGGCTTGGGCTTTATTGTGCACTCAAACTTTAATGTTCTTAAAACGGTATGAAATTGCATATCATAAATCACTGGAGAATATGGCATGAAGGAGAACCATTCTGGAAAAATTAATTGGGTACATTTCTAAGATTAATTTAGAAAAGTTTCAGAATGCTTCATTTCTGTGCTTATTTTCCTTTAGAGAATAGTGTCTAACACCGTCGCCTACTTATTGGATATATTTTGTTAACCGTTCTAAAAAAAAAAATACATTCTCAATATCTTTGTGGGCGACAGTGCCAGCCAGGGTATGTTTTCTGAAAGAAAATTCTACTGAAAATTGATGTCTACTGCAACTTTTTAAGAAAATACGGGAAAATGCACAAGATAATGACGTCACAACTATCATTTAGGAGGTCATAAGTATGTATTCTTACTGCATGGAATTCCTATGATTAAGAAAGAATGGATTTTAATTTCGTATTTGAGGAAAAAAACGGTTTAATCTGTGTTAAAACTTTACCTTATTCTTCAAATTTTTCGATTCGTTATTTTACTTGATTGTAAGATTCATTGCTCTCTAGATTTTAAACTTGGTCTTATATATATCGTCTAATTTTTGATATTGAAATAAAATACTTATTTCTCTTTTTCAAGATTCGAAGTATTCTCTCTCAGAGGAAATGAAGAGAAGGCTACATTGAAACAGATAATTTGGGTATTGTATATTGATTCTGAATTTTGTGCAGCCAGTGTTTTTTCAATTGTCATTCTTGTTAGCTATGAATAATTTGGGATATGTATTTATTTTATCATATTTTTATTGTTTCAAATTTTGTAATTAATCTAAAAACGAACAGCTTTTATCAATGCTTAATTTACTATTAATGGAGTTTAAACAAACCCTGCATAAATCAGTCATCAGATTTTATTTTAACATTTATAATATATTTGAGGGAGTTTACATTTTTTTCGTATGTATGTATGCATTATTTTATTTTATTAAACGACAGCGTCTGTGTTGAATCTTTTCTCCAAAATGTGACTTTATTGATTTAACTTTATCTTATATAATTATGAAATGCAAAAACCATTTCTTTTTTCAAACATCATGAAAAATACCTAGCCTCTATCGGAGAAAGTTTAAAATTACATTGCATTTCTGGAAGATTCTAATTATAAAAGCTGAACACGATTCATAAAAGGAATTTGTCCGTCATACTGGTTTTTTCTTGCTGCATTTCAGGGCCTCTTTATAAAGCTATTCACTTAGTCTCTGTTCAGTGTAATCAGTTGTTATCGGTAAAGACGGACGTATGCTACACAGCGCTCGGTAGTGACAAAAAATAATTTGTACTTCTTCTATAAAACATTCAATTAAATGTTTTCCTATGTTCTTCACAATTGTGACTGCGACTGGGAAAATGGGGCCAGATGAGCTAAAATCAGATTTTGAGTTTTTGTCATTTTTTAAATCCTCATAATGTAAATAAAATTTTGTCAAAAAACCTAAGTCATATCTGAAGGGGTTTTGAAGATATGACCAGATCTGTTCATTGACCCTTCATAGAGCTATTACATAACAAGAATAGATATGGGTTACCCCATATCCAAAGATATTCGACTTTTAGATTAAATATGTTTAACAGTGTTTATAATGGCGTTAATAAACAAAACTGCACTGTCTAATTATGGAACTGTTGTTTTCGTGAGTCCATAGCATTACGGTCACCCAGTCTCCTAACAAACAGTACACATAGGCCTACAAGTACCTGTGTCCGCAAGACCAACATTAGCCTTGGTCTACACACGTGCGATGGAGCTGTCAAACGCATCCAGCGAGCTCGGAGAAACACGTTTTGTTTTGCCGAGAAGTTACGATGACAGACAAAATTTTTCTTTTCTTAATGAGATCATATGAATACGAATTCTGATTAATAAAAATTATACAATCCCTGTTGAACTATATAGTTTGTTCTAACATTTGCATCTGCAACAACTTGTGTTTAAAATGGCCGGGTTAGGAAAATCAGGACCGGGTCGGAAAATTCTAAACTGAAAACCTTTTTTGTTTTGAAAATTACTGAAATAAACTAATGTATTCGTCGCAGAAATTACTTACATTATTCAAGTTCTATATAAAATGGTATGCTGAACTTCAACACGAACCCGCATCTCCAACCCAGTTCTCGTTTTGCCACACATACCCTTCAGTTTACAAAGTGTACACACGAGCAGAATCCGGCCAGGAATTGAAAATTCCGTCATTTAATAATACACACACACAGAATGGTTAATTTTTTCTTGAAGAAGAAATTGTATGATAATTAACGGACTATAAACATGTACTTAATACAATTGTTGATATAGTATTTTCAATTCATCGGTGAAAAGATATGAATCGAAGAATGACCTAAATATTCTCTGTTATCAAACATGTAAAAAAAAAAAAAGGCTGAGGAGGGAGCGAGCGTAGGAATATTGATATTTTTTATTTGCATTTCGGAGGGAAAGTGACTTTCTAATAATATTTTGACGTTATTTTTTATTTCTTTAACGTATGACATACACAACTTTACTCTTATCATTAACAATAATGTTGTATCTACTTATCATGATGGAACTATTTTGGTCGGACCAATTTGTGTGAGCCGCCGCTGAATACAGTAATATATCTTGCATAAATAGTACGCACTGATCGAATATATTAAAAAGACACTGAAAACAGGGAAAATGCACTTTTTCTATGATATTTAAAGAGGCTGGGGGTGGCAGCCATTTTTAGACTATTTCAATCTCCTTTAAAAGGAGAGCTCCATATAAAGCTATACGAAAATGATCAAATTTTAAAACTTAAATGTATAATTTTTTTTCTTTGCCAAATGATAGTTGACAACTAAAGATACCGTATCTAAAAAAATAAGTAAAATCTTGTGGTTAATTTGGGATTAATTTGTTGACCCACCAGCCTCCTTAATCTGAACGTCAAATTTAAAACCAGGGAAAAGTAATGACTTAAATATACACTTTTTTCAAAAAAAAAAAAAAAAAAAAATAGATGAAAAAAGAAATTTTAGAAGTGTACAGAATTGTAACCATTGTTGTCATGGCAACAAAATAACATAAGACTTCTTATCATTAACATAATCATCTTTGCAAGAGTTCAAAGACAATCGATGTTTATAAAAGTTTCAATACTTCATTCACATCCTGTGTTCATGAATTTTCAATTTTTAAGGAAGCTATAAACACTAACAAACTATTTTCTGGCTTGGAGAAAATTATGTCATATAAAAGTGTGCAGATCAAGTTCATTTTCAACATAAGGTACCTATAGAATTTCCCTAAAAATATGTTCACAGACAGTTAAGGTATCTGATGTAAACTCAGTGAACAGAAATTACGCCTGTTTACTTACATTGGGAAGATACATGCAAATGATTTATTCAATTACTTTATCTTATTCTAACAAACATGTAATGTTAAGAACACTTTTATCTAGTACACATTGTGTCTTTCACTGTAGATTTTTGTCTATTCTATCTTACATCTAAGGGCAAATCACTCTAAGTTGCGATAAAACTGCCATGAGATTTAGTATTCTCGCATAATCACCAGTGTTAGATTGACTTGTCCGGTGTGAGACAGCAGTGTGAGATTTTTCTGTCTTACACTGTGTATTACTACGCCACGAACGAGAACGTAAACATTCCGTCATTATATAAAAAAAATTGTAACAATGTAAAAAAAAATATAACACATAATTAAACAGTTGTCATTTAACTTATTAATATAAACTTATTTTCATTCAAAATATTGTCGTATTTTCACTTTTGAAATGGCACTATTTTTAGATCGCGGAATGATTCTTCTTTTACGCTGTTGGATAGATAAGTTTTTTATTCCCAGTGTTTATCTTTCTGATTAATTTACATGGACTGAAAATTATTTTGTCAGTTTACACTATGTGTAAACCATTTTCAGGTACGTTCTCTCCGATGGTGTATTCAGATTTTTAATTAGATGGAAAATTAAAAATATTTTTTTAGCCCCATCATGGCGACGTCATTGACAGGCCGTTATTTTGGATAAAATAATGCGAGAAAAATAATCATATATTACATACTCGTGTGGGAATAGTGAAATTCCACCTCGGGGCCAAGATTCACGGTCTAGGACTCGGCAAAGCCTCGTCCTAGACTGTGAATCTTGTCCCCTCGGTGGAATTTCACTATCCCACACTCGTAGTAATGAATGATTCTATTAGTCTTTAGTGTGCAGTGTTAAGAGCTTCCTTAAACAACTAAGAAAATATACAATAAACTTCCTGAGAAAAGAAATGCCTTTTCATTGCACAGTGCACTTTATAATAGCATACTAAAACAAAATGGTAGATAAACATGTACATATACACTCATGTACAATGTACGTAAAGATGATGATATGGTGGTATATATAACTTAGATCACTTGAACAGTTAAGCATGAAAGTAAATAATTTATGCAAAGCAATAAGCAAACTATAATATATGGATAAATCACATTTTGACAGATAATCATGAATGTTACAAGGTAAAATGAATAGAAAAAATTATGGATTTTCGAAATTCTATCTTTGCCTTGAAGCAAACATGTGTCGATTGTTATTTCTCTCCTAATTTAATATGATAATTCTGATTTTAAAACCAATTTTACCTCTTTGTCAATATTATCATGTTAAGCTATTTTTTTATTGACAATCGAAGCATGCATAGGGAATTTAAAAACACTACTCATTTTCCCCCATGATAGAGATCAAAGTGGTGTTTTATTTATGGATACTTTAAAAAACTCTTTTGCTTTAAGAGTGCATAAATATAATTTCCGACGTGAATAAACATACAGGTATATTAAACCACAATTTCTGACTTTCCTGAATGCGTATGCATCAAATATTCCTTTTGCAATGTTTTAATGATGAGAAGATTGAATTTTTAGAAAGCCATTGTCATGTATTCTGTGCTTTTGCAAGTGTTTTGTATTGATATTGTTCATTTGTAACAAACTTTGTCATATCATTAAATATAAAACTTAAGATGATATGCATGTGATTTGTATTTTAGAGAAGATAAAAATCAACGAAGCACTGTTATGCTATACCATAGTATTACAGTATACAAAACAAACGTTGGTTTTAAGTGTTTCACAATAATACTGAGTTAATTTCTTGCATTTTATTGCTCTAAAGTCGCGAAGTAAGGAGTCAATCCTTACGTCGCGGGAGTACGAATCCAACTGTGTGACGTGGAGACCGGTCCTTCGGATGAGAGCGTATAAACTGAGGTCCCGTGTCGCAGTAGGTGCTGGAACGAAAAAGACCCCTTACTGCTCAATGGTCCCGAGTGCTGCGTATCAGATTTGTAGCTCTCCACCGGCAAGTGATGGTCTCTACATATGAGTGAAAAATTTCGATAGGAACGTTAAACAACATACTATCAATCAATTAATCTTGCATTTTACTGTATATTTTTAGCTATTCATACGAGTTCATACGAGGGTTATCTTGAAATTACATAGATTTAGCTCTTATCTTTAGCAAAGATTAACGCATTTCTTTATAATCTAATGTGTGTATGTAGAGTGTTGTTTGACAAATTATCAAGTTTTAACATGATTACTTGAAACAATTCTAATCATTAGAGTTATAATTCCGTTCTCTGTAACTCGAAACAGACTTTGACGTCATACTAGACTTTATTAGTTAGTGTTACCTTTAAAAGGAAAGACACTAATTTCCAGAATATCTATTATTCATGAAACTGCCTGTGCTCTTATGAATAAATCGCCTTTTACAATGAAACTGAGATATTGAATACTCCCAGAGCATCTACATTAACTAATACGACCACAGAGGTACTGAAAACTCACAACGTGAATAAGGTACTCGATAAAACTACGATATTCAATATACCAAGTTATACCTCAACAC